GATTCCCGTGCTGTTTGGAAGATGTTTGTATTCCAGGACAGTGCTCCATATGCTGTTTTTCCATGCCTCAAGTAAGAAAAGCACACAATATGAGTGTTCACAGGCATTTCATAAGCTTCTGGATTGTATTTCAGACTCTGCAATTCAGGCTCAGAAAACATCTGAGAGTGGAAGAGCAGATTTTCAGCTCGCCTCACCACAAGGACCATCAGCAGACAAGAGCAGTCATAGTGGATTATCTCTAAAAAATGAAGCCAAAAACACATGGGAGATAACCAGTGGTATGGTGCTCATTTCATGTTATTTTACATCTCAGTTATGTGTGATGTGGGGGACTATCTGTTTTAAATTTCAAAGGACCCAGAAGCAGTTCACATAAAATATAAACGTCTGTGTTGTGGGGGATTACGGAAATCAAACACCCTGCAACAGACTTGCTTTTGAGCAATGAGAAAGATTTGCAGGATTAAGCTGAGTACTAGAGCAGTGAATAAAAAAAAGAAAAATTCCATGCTCTCATGATTAAAGGGGAAGAACTAAAAATAATTTATTCTTTAAATCCCTATTAAATTTAATGCTAAAGATTCCAAACTTCAAATGTATGAAAAATTTTACTTGTCCTAGATAAGAGTTTAAGATATTAATTACGGTACCCATATAATATCAGGGGTTTTTGGTTTTGTTTTTAAAGTTCAATGGTGAATATTTTTTTTTCCTTATTCACAAAGACACTTCAGCTTATGATTTTTTTTTCCCTTTCACACCTATCTGCCAAAAGGTGTGAATGTTTTTTGTCATACAGTGTCAGTCAACTTGCTTTGCATGTGTCTCGAAAGTACATTCTTGTGGCAAAAATAGCCCTAGTCTCTATGAAAAAGTAGTGTTACTTTCTATTAAAAGGTATAGCCACCGACTTGTAAAGTGGGCAGACTACTCAAATCTGCTCGAAATCGACCGAAGAAATTTTCCTTCACATAGTGAGTTGTTCCCATTTTGTTTAATCTTTGGGATGTTTAGAAGCAATTGTATACTATGACAATGTCAGTAATCCATAATTGCTATTATGGATTTCATAATTTGACTGAAACAGATGCAAGATGCTAAGGCAAGTAGAGCCTTCTGGAGAATTTTTAACTTAATACTTACCTGAATTTTGAGGATTCTGAGGCAGGAATTACTGTCTTACTTGTTCATTTAGGACACCAGGGCCTCTATCTGGTGCTTGCCTTTCAGAAAAATGAACCAACACTTGTTATTTTATATAAATATAAGTCATATGAAAAGACAGAGACTTAGGGCAGTAGATTGGCATGTCTAAATGCTCTCTTGTAAATTCAGAAGCAGAGAACTGTGGAAGAAAGCTGTGTTAAACACTGCTATTTTACTGTTTGTGTTTGTGAGAATGAAAACTCTTTCTGTGTAGTCTTAATTGTGTGTACAGGCAGATAAAGGCACAGTGTTTTTAAAGTACAATTCTCCAAATATTTTTTTCCATTTTTTGATTGCTTGGCATTGGTAGCTCAGTTTGCAGATTGTAGTTACTTTTCAATACATGAAGATGTCTAACTATATGTAGATGACTTAATGGTTTCTTTATCCTGTAGTACTGGATTCATCTGTGTTGAAGAGCTTCCCATAGGCAACCTCTTCATCAAGGAAAGTCCTCTTCTATGCTCTGTTCTAAACTTCTTCCAAAGTGGGATGAACTTGATCTCAGAGAATGATAGGCATTCTTCGAGGAAAAATTCACAGAGAAGAGGGGGAAATTCAAAAGCAGAGACATCTAACAAAAAATTAGGAACCTAATAATTTTAAATAAAATTACATCATTTAACATATTCATCTGCATAAAATACTATACAAATCATTTACAAAAGAAAGTGAAGTGCACACTGACATTTTCAGATGAGAGAACAAACATGCTTCTACCTGTTTCTTACTAAACTGTTTCACATGTGCATTCACATTTTAAGAACAAATACCTTTCTAATAAAGGCAAAGAAATGGTGAGTTCTGTGATAACTTGTATTGTAACTGCAGTTCATGCACACTGTCAGGATTGTAACCCCTTAAACTTCAGGAGTGATGTTCTAGTCAGAAAACTCCCAACAGCTGATCTTGCCCCATAGTGAACAACCATAAGGGTTTCAGTGGTGATGACTCAGCCAAAAGCATAATCCTGATGCTTCTGACAAAGTGTTAATGTGCATACACCTCTGACAAGTCACTGGCACAAACCCACATTCCCCAAGCAAGTGCAAGCTTACGTGATTTGTGGCTCCCAATTTATACTGTGGTCAAAACAAATTGTATCAACAAGAATCTATCATACACTGCTCTTCTCTTATTACCAGGCATTTAGTACTGTTGAGCCCTGTGCAACCATGTCCTATGGTGATCTTGGAACAGTACTGCACTTGTTCTGCTATTAGCTTGAGTAAATACTAATTTAAATTTCATGGGGGGAGGGGAGCTTTCCTAAGTGATTGTTCTTATTACCTTAGAGATTAGCCACTGCTATTTATAATAATATCTTTTAGATTTATAATAGACTTCAAATCACCATGTCTTCTGTAGCAGGTGTGCAGTACCTTTACCAAGGTAAATTGTTTTTAACCAAGGGAAAAAATAAAATGAGTGAGCATTGTTTATAGTTTGCCAATCTTATTTATGCAATGCTGAAATCTTCATTAAAATGTTAGGCTGCAATTAGAAGCTTTAGCATACATCTGACTGTGTAGAAGAACTAATTAGATGTTTAGGTGATCATTCTTGCATTTATCTTGTTTGCTGCAATGTTGTGATTACATACTAATTTGCATATTTTGCTAAGAAGATACTCCAAATTGTTGCTTACAATTGACATGGAAATGCTGAGTTAAAAGGAAATTCCAGTATAGTTTCTGGTGGAGAGATAATGGGATTTGGTTTGGTCCAAAACACTCCATATCTTTCACTTGTAGACTATTAACAAAATGCTACACTGACTACAGGTTACAGAAATTGCTGAACTCCGTAGCAAGCATAAAATGTCATCTTAAAGCCTTACAGACTTTTCTATCTTCCCCTTGCATATTTCATTAAGAATAAGTACTGTGGTATGCAAACTATATTTGCATTTAACTTATTACTAACCCAAGTATATTTCTTCAACATCTCTGGAAACAAATGTTGTTCTTTACAGAGAAGATTAGACTAAAAAAGCAGAATATTCAGGCTAAATATTATACAGATGCTAAATCTTTTAAAGTAGTTCTTTATATTTCTGAAGTATTTTTGATCTGGGTAAAGATATTACTTTACTCACAATGATGAGTGAAGTGATGTGTAAGATGGTTTTGGATGTCTGTGGCAGAGCCAGGAGTAGGAGTCAGGAGTTTAAGCTTCTAATTGTCTCCTCTTCTCTAAACATTTGACAAAAACTGTTATTTGTTTTTCGTGTTTTGATACTTCATTCAAAATTAACTTAAAATCTCAAAAACCAAGTGGTCTAACACCTTTTCTTACTTCAGAATTCATTACAAAATTTTACCTGTATTGACCTCTGTAAATTAACCAGCAACAACTGCATCAGAAGTCTTTCTAGAAAAAGAATAGGTGAGACTGCAGTTAGGGAAGCTGATTGTTATTAAGTCAGTAGGCCATAATAAAAACTAATCCACTCCTGTCTGCTCATTTACAGTCCTTTGTGCATAGAAGTTAGCAAATTCTCATGAAGTGGGTTGTACACTAAATGTATAACCGTACCATAGAGGGCTTGTTAGAGTGGTCTGAGCTCTTAATGCATATTTGAAAACTGCAAAGACAGCATGATACATGTCAAATCTAATTTCATGATGGGGGCCGGGAGGAAGGCCTTCTGAATACTAAAGAAGTGTATGTTATACTTCTTGGTCTTAGTCAAGCCACTGCCATTGAAACCTAGTAAAATCCATCTAGATTAAACTGTGGAAGGGTGGGTGCCAGCCTGGTCAGAAGGCTGCAGAGTGCTGAAATAGGAAAAAACTGAAAAATTCAAAAATTTTCTTAGCTGGGTAAGTTTTGAAGATATCTTCTGTTTTGAAAAATGCAGGAAGTGTAAAATTTTAATATCATTGCCTTGGGAAAAAAGAGTTAAGAGCATTTTAGACTTAGCATCCAGAAGAGCTCAGGAAAAGATCTCTTTACATACAGAAGAGTTGTCCAGACAATTAAAGTTTCAGGATAAATAACGTTTTTGTGGCATTTCTGCATAGCACTTTCTGGAGTTGCAGATGTGGCAGCATCTCCAGGGCCAAAGATATTCAAAGCAATTTCAGGCTTGGTGGGCCACATTCCTATTGGACAAATGATTGAGTAGTTTAAATTGCTGACTTAGTGCAAGATAGTTTTTTAATCATGTTAGGTCACAAAATCAGTTGAGAAAAAAAGTTCCTGAGTCTTTGTTCTCAAGCATCCTAATATTGTGTTCAGCTGCATGTGAAAAGTTAATTAGAAGATCCCTCTTTTGTTTCATTTTTATAGAGGAAATGATACTTTAAAAATGCAGCTTATATAAATATTAAAATATAGTGAAAACATAAAAACTGTGAAATGTGAGTTCATTATTAATACCGTGTTTTCTCTTATGATTTCAGTTGTTTTGTTAGCATACAACTTTTCACATGTCATTCCAATTGCTTGACTAAGAAAATATGTTATCAGAGGAGTGTGATACAATCTTGAGTGGTCAAAGGCAGGAGAATTCTGTTCTAGTATCCTCCTTTGAAAAACTTGTCGTTATTGATCAGAACAAAAAGTCATTGGGTTTATACAAATGAAGAGTGGTTCTTAAAAGTTTTGAATAGTCTCCCTAATTTCTTGAGGCTCTTGAAAAAACTAGTCCAAAGTATTTGTAAAATAAATGATTTTACTTACATGTTCATCTTTCAAGTCAATAGACAGTGATCTACTAGATTGTTTTAAGCCAGCATGATTGTCTAGTATAAAAAGAGTTTATTTGAAAAGCCTTGGGGCTTCTGACTATAGATGGTCTTCATGTAGAGACTGAAAAATAGTCTCTTCTGAAACAAGTAGGTGCAAACCATGAATCTACAACATGTGTTAAGTCCCTGCTTTTCACTGGTATCTAGTACAAACTACTGTTTATAGGAAATTAACTGGAGTTTGGTAGCTTTACTAGCTATCTTCAGTAAACTGGAAAAATCACAGCAACCCAGTGAGAAGACAGCTGTGTCTCCTGGCATCTCTTTCTTCTTTCTTTTGCCTTCATTTATGGTGGCTCAAATGTTTTTGGTTTTGTTTTTTTACCCCAAAGCTGCTGAATCTGCCTGAAGTGATAATTATCTCTAAGAAAACTAAAAAGAATACAGTACTACAGTAAACTTACTGTCTTCTGTGACAGCAAGTATTTTGTTATTGCAGTGCTACTTTATTATTAAGTTTTTAGTATTTTTTTATTGAGGCTTTTTTAATACGGTTGGTGGTAACTTTGTTTTATGGAGCCAGAAAGTTTCAAGATCTAGTGAATAATCCACACCACACTACCTTTAATGAAGATAAGGGAGTATTGCATACTTGAGCAATTCTCCTTTTCTCAGATGCTATTTGAGATTGGTTTTAATCAATCAAATTGACATTTTTTTCTATACCATCATTCCAAACAGTAAAATATAAGTTAACAATAAGCGTATAAAAATGGCCTTTTCATGTTTATCTGGTGCACTCAATCTTTAAATCCATTTCTATAGTTTATTGTTTGTTTTAAAATTGGCAGATTAGTACTGCCTGTATTCAGGGAAAGTTGGTGAAACGGATGTCTTCATACATTTTTCATGTCACGCTATTTTTCATCAGAGCTGTAGTTTGAAATTGAGATTTAAACCATAAGTTCTGGACATAAAAGAAAGTGTAGAATTTCAGCAGTAAAGAAGCAGCAGATTGTAATATTGTGAACTTCCCACCAACTACGTGTGATTATTTTTTTAAATGTCAGCAATAAAAAATGCCTATAGAGAAAGATCAATAGCCAAATTTAATAAAATTATATTTTCCTAGAACGAAATTCAATTGAACAGTTTCAAATCTTAACAGCTAAATAGTTTCAGATTTGCAAATTGCAGGCTCGCATGTGATATATATCATATCCTGCAGATTTTTTGAGCTGTGATCTGGAAATGTTTTTATTAACCTTGCCTCACTTAGAAAGCAGCCTGATCTTTTTTGTTGCATCCTCATCACTCTGCCAATTGTATAAATCTGATAAGCAGAATATTTCTGTATTAGAAAAACTTACTTGCTGTACAACTTCCAGAGAAAATGAGAGTGATCAGGGTAACGTACAATTTACATATTTGGCATTAAAATAAACATTGTATGTTTCAGATGAATGGGTGTTTCCAGAAAGTTTCACTGAGAGTATTCAGTTGGATAGGAGTGAGCACTTCATAGCTACTGAAGATTCAACCTGCCATAATCTAACCTCACCACAGAATGCCTCTGAAGATCACAGCAATGAAACAGGTGATCACCAAGTGAATAATGAAGAGATTTTCACATTTTCATCAAGACCTCGATCAGCTCTTCATGGGAAGTCTCCGAATATGTCACCACGATGTTGCATTTTCCCATTGGATTTGAAGCAAGACAGTAACAGAGTGCATGGGAAAACTCAAATTGAAGATAACTTTCAAGGAACTGACAGCAGTGAAGAGGTAGGCCACTTTGTACATGTAATTCTTGATATAGTAGTCTTCATCCTGAAACTGTTAGGATGAGATTCTGTCTTCAAGCTAGACAGAGAGGATAAATCATCTTTTCCCCATATACCTACAGGTAGATTTGTCTTTGTCAGGTTGCTGCATCTGAACTGGATACAGTAGTGAAAATGCAGGTATACCCTCTGTAGCAAGTGGACAAAAGAAACCTAACTCTCTGTCAGCCCCTATGCTAACAGAGACATGAGAGTATCGTGCATCATTACAAGAAAGATTTTAGGAAAGCCTTCATCATAGATTTGAGAGAGATGTAAGTCCGTTATGGTTGTGCAAGAGTGCAGGAAATAAAGCTTTGTTGTGCCTTTTTAAACTGTAAGCAGGGACTGGTTTGCTCACCAACATTGTTGAAAGTGAATTAAGAAATTTCAGCTTTTTAATATCACTTAATGATTGATATTTCTGCTTTATATCCTGTCTGAGCTGTGTCAGCATCACCAGATTTAATTCTTTTGCAATATGGAAATCTTTCAGCAATAAAATTAATGAAAGAAAAGAAATATCTTTTTAACAAATGTATCAGCTGATACTATATAGAAATTCACTAAATTGTCAATGCACTGAATAGTTGCGTTGTGTCATTACAGTAGCTGCTAAAAGTTTCTACCTTTATGAACAATCTAATGTATTTCATTTTAATTATAAAATCTATTTCTTAGCGTCCTAATCTGTTGCTCATAGCTGAGAAATAAAATGCAACAAAGTTACATAGTAGCACGATGAACTGAACTTCACTACTCTATACTCTGTGTTTCTGAGAAACCAAATTGCTGATGCTAATTGTAAGAATTAAAAATTCTCTGGGTTTTTTTTCTGTAGTTGTGGGGATTTTCCTGTTATGTGGGGCAGTGTATTATTTATTAACTTACACCCATAAGACTTTGTTATTTCAAACAGAGTTCTAGAATTTCAGAATTAAATCAGTTTTAGTCGAGCTAGTAGTTCATGAGCAGTGCTATATGGGATACCTTCTGTATCTGAAGATACAGAACTGTTTGGATTTCAAATAATTTCTTTGTCTGTTATGCTTATGAAAAACCAGAGAGGTTACTGTAGAAGCTAGGTTAAGAAAATATTTCCATACGAATTATGGAAGCTTTCCAGCACTGTCATTTACTTAGCTTCAATAGTTTCCAATTTGATTGGTTTTTTTTTGGAGGGGTGGAGTGGGTATTAAAGTCATTTGTAAAGATATGCCTCCAAAGCAGTGTAAAAATGGCAAATGAAAATTTCTGAAGAGTTACCAAACAGTAAAGGCCATGCTATGATAAGTGAGTGAAAATAAAGTGTCTTTCAAACACCGCATATGGCATGATGAACTATAAAGCAAGACAAAGTTATATAAATTAATCAAAACCTAAATTAATCATTAAGCTTTGCTGGTGGTTAAGCCTTTATTGAAGAAGATAGCTAACCTTCCATGCCATCATCCTACCCCAGAGATCCAGTGCCGAGCACACAAAGAGGAAGCAGTAGCCAAGTACTCCTGCTTTTACAGCAAAAGAACAACATTGGGGAATAACATTAATGGCTATTCTAGAGGGTTGATGCAAGAGAGACTGATAGAGGATCCCTATCCTCTTTAAAAAGATTTAAGGTATTATATAAACTAAAAACTTTTCATTGCCTGTGTGCCAGAGGTGTGCTAGGGAGCAGCCTTTGTTTCGTTCATTATCTTTGGATGCAAACTGCATTAAACAGTGTCAACACTGCAGGCGGGGATGCATTAGACTCACAAAACTAGAAGATAATTACATTAAACAAATCTACAGCATGCTAACAAATTATCAAGAGTTTTTTTCTCAGTCTGCTACATTAGTAATTCATAGTTAAGCCTTTCTTTCATGTGAAAGAAGTCACTGAACCAGCAAATTACTTAGCAGTCATATTTTGCCTGTATTCATCCTCTTCATTGTACAGATACATTCTGTGTTACTTCTTGAAGTCAACTTTATACTGATAGTCTGAATACACATTTAATATTCAGATTGCCGTACTCTGCATTACTGAAGTAAACTAGAAAACAGGTTTTTTTCAAGCACTGAAAATACAGGAAAGAGGATCCCAGAAGAGCTGTGATAGCTCAGAGTAAGACTGCTAACTTAATAGTATCAGCACAGTTTAAAGTATGTTTGCAAAATTACCAAAATTCTTTAGCCCAACCGTAACATGTTTCCCAGTTTACTTCACTTATATGACAAAATATTTGACTAAGTTATGCTGAATCTTGCAGTGCTTTTAAAAAATATATGCTAATCTTACATCCTGAAGTAAGCTACATTGTTACAGGTTTTCACACTATTATTGTTTCTCATGACCATTGTGGTACAGCTTTCTTTGAAATTCAAATACATTATGTTTGAGTATAACACAGAGGGATAGGTATACACTCTTGAACTATATCAAATAAGATAGATATCTCAACCTACAATGCAGATAATTACATGTGAGCATAAATTGCCTTTCTCCTGGAAAATATAAGTAAAACTTAGTTTTAATGAAAAAAAAATAATTTTACATACCTTTGTAGTTTAAGTATCTCGGACTGGTAAAAAGTCCGAAAGTTCTCGTAGGGTTTGTTATGTCACTGCATCATGAATTAAAAAATTACAGTTAAAGGGGCTAAATTGTAGTTTCATCCTAGTCTACATTTGAAGTTAATGGAACTGCAAAGGAGAATTGTGTACTTTTTTATTAAATCTGTAAAAAATCAGAATGATCTACAAAAAATACTTACTTAATTCTAAAATATAAGAGACCAGTTATGCATCAGCATAAATTTCAAATAAGTGAACATTGACTATCTTTCTTGCATATACTGAGAGCTGTAAGATATTAACAGTACAGTGCTAGAATTATACGGTTTATGTAACTTTTGGCTTTTGAGGAGGAAATGTTTCAGCCTGCAAACTGAAAACAGCAAATATTTATAAATTCCCTTTAGTGGTTACTAATTAGTCACTGAAATAGTTCAATGCTGTTTTTCAATTATTGGAGTTAAATAATCAGTAAAGGATAAAAATTGCTGCTTCTGTTGGAACCATACACCATCAAGTGACTTATTTTGTAATTATATGGATGTTCATGCTTTTGTCAGAGACATTGTATAATTAAACTTGAGGCTGATAATTTCACTCTGATACCTCAGTATTAAAGCTCTCAGCGTACAAAGGGACTATATCCCATCTGCTCATAGTAGGTGGCCCTCTAGAGTCATTAGAATGATCTTAAAATTACATTCCAGCAAGAGCAATAAGTTTTATGAATCCAGAACTGCCTATCCACATGTTCTTTCAAGGAATGCAATACATCAGTGGAAGTGCTCATTCCTCAGGAAAAACATTCTCATCTTCAGTTTACATATGCTGCACTGTAGTTAATCAAGCAAACTTTATTGATGTTTCTGGCACCATATCATGATTTAATATTTAAAAAATTATTCTAGAACATAAATATGTATGGCTGAAGAGACATGGAAAGGTAGGAGGGATTTATGCTTCAGATAGATCAAAGTTATACATTTAATGCGTGGGAAAAAAAATACAGTGTTTTCCTTAGTAATCCTCCATTTTAAGTTAACCTAACTTAAGATGGGTTTCCAGCAGAGATTTTAAGATCACTTATGGCAAATAAAAGTTCATGAAAAAGAGGAAAATACAGATTTGTGTTTCAAGGAGATTACTAAGTGAGGGAATAAAACTATAAACTTCCAAAACGTGTATCATTAATAAAATGAGGAATTATTTTCTTGAGTGTGCATTTCATTCTGTGTAATCTAGTCCTGGACTCACTGAAGTCAGTAACAAACTTGAATCACTTTTATTTGCAGTAGGACTGCATCTTGCCTATGACAGGCATACTGAAGATGATATTTCAGTGTCTTATTGAATCTTGTAATATATACAACCTTACATCCAGTGTGGTGGCGTATGGCAGAGGACCAGCATGATGAGAGGAAGATGAGACCCCCCTCTCATCCTTTCTTCTTTGAGAATAAGAACATTGAGGCAAACACTGGACGTGCTTCCTCATTATTCTTTCTATGTGTTCAGACTCACTGTTCGTTCTTGAGATGGGATATAAGTGAACATGATACACGTGATTCATGGGATGTTTTGCAGAGACATTGTTAGAAGCATGAATATAAGGTTAACAAACTAACCTCCAAAATTCTTAAATTATATTCGTATGGTGTTGAATATGATATTCAATGATATTATCAGAGGTGAGCAAAGTGATCTCAGCAGGAGTTATTCCTTCTACATTTAAGTTGAAGATGCAATGTGAAAACATGAAATACTAATAATTCAATGGAAATTATGATTATCATGTAACACACAGGTTTGGGAGTTTACTAGCATTCTAAATTTGGGCTGACAATTTGAAAAGTGTAATCTTGTCTCCCTCTCCTCCTCTTTCCACTTTCTACTTTTCACTACTTGAGATGTAGGAATACGTTTATGGTATACTCACTGTAGTTGAGAGGAAGAGCAGCTGGCTTTCAGAATCCTTGCAAATTTAGAATTATGCAGAAGAGATTAAAGAACCATTTTGAAATTTGAAGATTATGTAAAACTGTGTTGTGTAATGATGAGAGGGAATCACTCTTGCTTTATTTCCTAAATTTAGGATGAAAACAATGAATTCATTCAGGGTACTGGGGACCTGGAGATCAGCGACAGCAGGCAAGGAACATCTGATTCAGCAGTTTTTAAAGAGATCCCATTAGAGAGGATGTCATGGAGAAATGAATACTGGAAGAATAAGGGACACAGCAAATGTAACCTCAAAGAGACCATCTTATCAAAACCACAGAGTTCCACTGTGAGAAAAACAGATTCTGTTAGCTCTCAGAGAAGCTTAAAGCCTACCCTTTCTCTTTCTCCAACTGGAAGTAAATCTGAATTCTTTAAAGTAATTCCAAATGGATCTGAAAAAACTGAAAGATACGAAGGAGTTTCTGGTCAATTGAAAAGATCCATCAGTAAAAAATCTCTCAAGAAAATCTCAAGAGAAAATTCATGTCTGACAATACAGACTTGTGTAAGTGATTTTTGCTTTGAAATTAAATTATTAGATTGTATAGAGAAGCTATACTAGATATACCCATTTGCATGAAGTGAGAAATAATACGCTTTTCATCCAGATATATTCTGCTTTCATCATAACAGTATTTACTGAGCCTAGTCTGTTGAAAGTTGATTTTGTAGTTTTTTGTGGCACACAAAATAGTACTCCAAATAAAACAGAAGTCACAGAGGTTTATAGATAAAACAAGGTGTCACTGAGCAACTCACATTTTGGAAATAAGCGAGTTAGAAAGTAGTTTGGGGCTGAAAGATTACAAAGGAAAATTGACAGACTTTGAATTGATATATTAACAAGTGACCATATAAAGAGCATTAATCTAGGTACTTCATAGTTTCTCTGCGACAGCACTGAAAAATAATAAATTATGTGATTGAGGGCCAGCAGTAAGGCTGTGTCATAGGCTAAATTGCCAGGCTGCTAAAGAATTGTTACATTCACTTTTATTCCTAGTTTTTTTCTTCCTGGATTCTCCTTGTGGAAACACAAAGTAATTCAAACAAGAAGTTTGTCTGCAGCTAATTATGTTCTTAAGTATTTCCTAATAGCTAATTCTTGTCCTTTCAGCTTATAATGATGTGCTTTGAATTGTGCTTTGAATCAGGAAGGGGGGCTTAAGGTTCAGGTGTATTCTGTAAATCACAATTGAGATAGTATGTTCCATGGTTTTGGATAGAATTCTTTTGGGCTTAGAATTACTGCAGATCCATATCTTTTAACATGTGACCTCTTCTCTAAATGTGTTACAAGTAGATTAGATTTATTTCTGAGCATCTGAGAGTGGAACAAGCCAAACTTCTTCCTCAGACTTCAGAGGTCTTTTTTTCAGACATCAGCTATTACCCTATGAGACCAAAGACTTACATAGCCAGTATCTTCTGTCCAGCAGCAGTCAGTCATAGCTGGCTAGGGAAAAAATACAGTGCAAGGACAGAGCAAGCATCCAGTGATACCTTGCCAGCGTGCCCTGCAAGCTTCCTTCAAGCAGTCCATAGCTTAGCAATTTCTTCAGTGAAAGATGTTGTCTTTATGGTAAATAACTGGTGGTGGAATTTTTTTCCACAGATTTCTGTAGTTACTTTTTGTATCTATATGGCCTTTGCCTTGTGACAGTGAATTTCAGAGTTTAACTGCTGTTTGTGAGGAAAAAAAATGTATCTCCTTCATTTGTTTGCAGTGCACTGTCTCATTCCTGGTGCTTTCTCATTCTTGTGTTTGTTATAAGAAACACTGAATAATTTATTATTATTATTATTTTTTATTATTATCTATGCCACTTACTATTTGATGGCTGTATATCATATTCCCCCACAATTGTCTCTTCTACAGGTCAAGGAGTTTTATGGTATTTAATCCCAGGATTGCAGTTTTGTGATTTGTTTGTTTGTTTTTTGTGTTTGTTTGTTTGGGTTTTTTTGTCATTTTTACCCAAGGATGCTGAATCTGGCTACTGCATTATCATTAATGTAAGAGTGGTTTTTAGATAGTAATATCTTGAACCAGGTATTGCACACTGCTGGGGACCAAAAGAACAGATGCTTCTCTTTTTTGTGGCTCTGTGAAAGAGTTATGTATTCTTTGGGAAAAAATTACCTACAGTCAGGTTCTTGCAACATGACATATACCTGGTTTGCATGAAGGAAACAGAAGTCTTCCATCATTACTGTGTTTTCTGTCCTTGTAACTTGTCTGATCTGCTATAGGATACCACAGTCTCCATTCCAGTCAGGGGGATGTGTTTTCATTCTGCTATGGGAATTTTAGTCTGTAGTGATTCTATTACTTGATACAGTTAGTTTTAGTTACCTGATTTGACAGCATCTGTGATAGGGGAGGCAGGCCATGGGACAAGGCTGCGACTGCTGGGGCAGGGTCATTATGCTGAACAGTTCTACCTACCTACTTACGGCTGCTGAGGATGGACCACACTGCAGCTAATTTTCGATATGGAAATCTGGGCATTGGGCTAGGAATAACAATCCAAACTGGGCATCAGATTAAAGAATAGTGTCTAGAAAAGCATACGTCCAGCTTTTCTGTGTATCTTTGTTAGGGAAATGGACATAGTGCCATGCCACTGATGCTTCAGTGCTTTTTAGTGAAATGAGTCTCTTTTACTAGTGGTGTAGGGGTTAGTTTTTTATGTCTGTCTCAATCCTGTGAGATAGTCTTTCTGATTGAGGGTTCTAGAAATCTCTTCCTGTATTCTGTAAGTTACTTATTGGATTGTGTAAAGGCCTTGCACTTTTCCTGATAAAAACAGAATATCCTTTTCCATGAAGGGTGTGGAGACTGGTTTCCTTTGGGAAGGAAGCAGATTAGAGGGAAGCAAGAGGAATGAAATACAGTAATGCAGGTTGAAAGCAGAAGCAGTGCTGAGACCTTATGGTGATGAAAAATACCAGTGGCTGGTGATCTTAAAGACGACAGAAAGAAAAAAATTTTTAAAAAAGTAGAGAAAATCCTACCAATAGCAAGATATGTTCTATGTATTTATTATCTGGAAAAGACATTAGAATTGTCACTAGTGATCTAGAAAATGTGGAAGAATGCAATTCATGTGTTCTTTTATATTTGGGAAGAAGATAATGTTTCTGTAATTTTTAGTGATAGGAAAACCCCAGTTGATACTGATAATCTGATTCTCTGTTTCTTAGATGTGTTAATACCCATGTACCTATCTGTAAGGGTATAATAAAATTTGTTTACATTTTACATTCCCTTTCCTTCCTAGTTTTATCTATAGGAACATATTTTTCTAGTTCCTAGTAACTTTTCACATTTTTGTGATTAAATCTATTCCTTCCTTGTTTCCTGATTCCTTTCAGTTTTGGAAAATTGTTCCACTTAAAATTCAGCCATGTTTATTACTAATCATAACTGTAATCTATTTGTCCATAATAAATTAAGTTATATGTTGATTACTTTCCTAAAAGTTGTTACCAGTGTTTAATGCAGTGATCAACTTTGTCTTGTAGAACGTAACTAAATGTGGACTACCTAGGTGGATTGCAATTACGTTTTTAAAGTGCTAGATATATTTTACAACTTTTTTGTGACTTTTTGTTTTAAAAGATGATGGAAAAGAGCTATCGTTTTTCCTCTGCTCAATAAATAGTTGATTATTAAATTAGACAGTAGGATTATTAAGATACTGCACTTGTAGCTGAAAATGTATTACACCTGTAATTTGTTGCTTGTAAGCATTTTTTCAAAGACAAAACCTATTATCAATGTATAGAAATTCAGGAGTTACAGACTTTGTTTTATTGCTACAAAATATAAGATGAAAGTATCTGGCAGATTTAGCTCTCATACTTGATTTGATCAAGTAATAAAATTTTCCCATCCCAACTCCTTTGTTTGGAGTTCTTTAATACTTCTTTTTATACTGGGCCACGGTCAAAATTTGAAGCCAAATTTGGGTGCCACTGACTGCCTATTAAACACTGGCTATTTATATTAGAAAGTATGTTCACCTAGCACTTACAGAATAAAGTCAAGTGTATTTTTTATTAATTTTTATTAACAATATTTCCAATAATTTTAAATTTATTTTAATAAGCTATTTGAATGTGACTGTTTTCAGACCACATACATATGTAAAGCTTTTTTTGTATCTGCTGGAGCAGTTTTGCAGGAAGAAACTGGTATTTAAGGTCTCCACAAGCTTCAAGAAAAGAAGTACTTACCTGTTGTTTGTGAACAGGTGATTGTGATGTGGGTGATGTGATGGCTGGAGGCTGTCTTGGGCATAGTGATCACAAAATGATAGAGTTTTCAGTTCTCGGAGAAGTAAGGAGGGAGTCAGCAGAACTGCTGCCTTGGACTTCTGGAGGGCAGACTTTGGCCTGTTTAGGGTCCTGTTTGAGAGAGTCCCTTGGGAGGCAGTCCAAGGGGAAAGGGGTCCAGGAAGGCTGGGCATTCTTCAAGAAGGAAATCTTAAAGGCTCAGGAGCAGGCTGTCCCCATGTGCCGAAAGATGAGATGGCGGGGAAGAAGACCGACCTGGCTGAACAGAGCATTGGCTGCAACTCGGGGAAAAAAAAGGGAGTTTATGACCTTTGGAAGAAGGGGCAAGCAGCTCAGGAGGAATACAAGAATGTTGTGACTTTATGCAGGCAGAAAACTAGAAGGGCCGAAGCACAGCTAGAACTTAATCTGGCTACTGCAGTAAAAGACAATAAAAAATGTTTCTAAATATACATTAGCGACAAAAGGAGGGCTAAGGAGACTCTCCATCCTTTATTGAATGTGGGGGGAAACATGGTGACAAAGGATAACGAAAAGGCTGAGGTACTTAATGCCTTCTTTGTCTCAGTCTTTAATAGTAAGACCAGTTGTTCTCTGGGTACTCAGCCCCCTGAGGTGGAAGACAGGGATGGGGATCAGAATGAAGCCCCCATAATCCAAGGGGAAATGCTCAGCGACCTACTACACCACTTGGACAAATCTGTGGGGCTGGATGGGATCCACCCAAAGGTACTGAGGGAGCTGGTGGAAGTACTCACTGAGCCACTTTCCATCATTTATCACCAGTCCTGGCTAAGCAGGGAGGTCCCAGTTGACTGGAAGTCAGCAAATCTAACGCCCATCTACAGGAAGGGCCAGAAGGAGGATCCAGGGAACTACAGTCCTGTCAGCCTGACCTCGGTGCTGGGGCAGGTTATAGAGCAGATCATCTTGAGTGCCATCACGTGGCATGTACAGGACAACCAGGTGATCAGGCCCAGTCAGCAGGGGCTTATGGAAGGCAGGTCCTGCTTGACTGACCTGATCTCCTATGACAAGGTGACCTGCTCAGTGGATGGGGGAAAGGCTGTGGATGTTGTCTGCCTGGGCTTTAGTAAAGCCTTTGACACTGTTTCCCACAGCATGCTCCTGGAGAAAGTGGCTGCTCATGGTTTGGACGAGCATACTCTTTGCTGGGTAAAAAACTGGCTGGATGGCCAGGCC